TGGCGCTAACCTGAACCTGGTTTGATTTAAACAGACTAAAATGACACAACAAACCTTATTCTCTTGCATTTCTTATTTCTTATTTGGGCTCTCCTGCAGATGGAATATATCACATGTAAATAGATTGAATAACTTGCACAAATTAAGCAAGTAAACACAACATGCTCAGCAGTTACGATGTGCCTGGTTGAGCGAGTAAATAATTTTTTTCTTGTTTTGCATGAACGGTCTTTAAGTGTGAGATCTTAATGCGCAGGTCCAGCAGAGGACTGGCACGAAAGCTTGCCAGTTTTAATACATAACAAATTTGTTAATAAGAGGCTAAAATTACAACTACCGTATTTTTCAGACTGTCAGGCACACTTAAAATCCTTAAATTTTTTTTTTTAAAATGGACACTGCGCCCTACAATCCATGATTACTTGTTGTGCTTACTGACCGATTTTATGTGGTGAAATGCGCTCAAAAATCTGTCCAAATGTGCAAGTACGACTTTGGTAAGCAATGAAGCCGCGCCGCTCAGTGGGTATTTGGAGCATTACGGTACACTGTGTAGCTACCTGATCGGCCCCATAACAAGACCCCTTAGCAGTCTACAAAACTGCCTGACCGTAATGTCTAAACTAGAAGTGCATTCATGTAAGGCACCCTGGGCCGCGATTTTTTTTTTGTAGGATGGTAGGGGGAAGTCCTGCCCCCTTGCCTCTGATAGGCTAGAAAAGCTAGAAACGTCATCACGCGCTCAAGCCAAACACGGGCTGTCGGCTCTGTACATCGAACAGAACATTACAGAACATTGTCCCACTTCGGAATCTCCTAACCCTAACCCTAACCCTAACCTGACAGACGATGACGTTTCACAGCCATAAGGAATAACCAATCAGAGCCTAGCACTTTTAGCCAATCAGAGGTGAAGAAGGGTGGGACCTTCCCCTACCATCCTTCCCTGACCATAGCAACAATAAACCAATCAATGCGCCAATGCTTAATGTGCCTTACAATCTGGTGCGCCTTACGTGTGAACATTGACACGCTAATTCACAGTGTGCCTTATAATCCGGTCCGCCTTGTCGCCTGAAAAATATGGTATTATTATGAATGTTTTATTACCACCTTCATATTTAGTTTCAGTTTGCTGATTCTGTTGCGCACGTGTGTAAGCAGTGGGAAAACCGACTTTACTTGCCTTTAACAGTAAATCACACTTACTCTGAGTGTAATCAAATACTGTAGTGGCTGCACCCTGTTGATCACTTCATCTGACTTCTACCTGTGCGACAATTAAATCACCATAATGACCCAATTTATCTTTTTCTAGATGGTCTTCTGTATAGTGAACATATGATCTGTTGGTTTAATAAGGTGTTTCTTTCTGCCAACTTCATACACAGCTAAATGCTCATATTATCCATGTAATAGCAGCTTTTCATTGGTATGTGTTAATGTCCAAGTATGTTCCCAGTTGTGGTTATTTCTGTACTGCCTGCTGATGGAAATCTCTGTGTTCGAAGGAAAGGTTTGCATTTATTGTTTTTCTCTAAGGAACACGGTGTTCATTGTGCTTGTAAAGGTAGTCAGAGTGTTCACACCTTACTTATTCTCATTCCACTCCCTGTGCTTTTGGATGAGTGTTTTAAATCAGCTACCAACACCATGGCTCTGCCCAGAATTGGAAAGAGAGAAAGGAACGTGTTTGATTTGTGATCCCAGAGCACTCTTTTGCTCTCCACCTTCTGCTTTCACTCGACAAACACATAAATCAACTCATCTTGTTGAACCGGTTCCCCTTTTTCTTCTCCGTGCCGACTGTTCCCAACAAAAAACAAACCAAACTGTGTCAGAAGTGCTGTTTCCAAAGTCATTAGCCCCCTTTCACCTGACCTTCCAGACCTCAACGACAGAGCCGTTACACTCACAGCACTCAGCATGGCAAATGACAGTGATCACTCTCTTAGTGCACACTTCACATTACCTCTGTCTGGATGCACATGAAGGACTTGGAGATGGCGGAGAGCCAGCTCTGGCAGATGTTTTGTCCGTTCTGCAGTAGCGGCCCTGAACAAAGTACCTCTCGACAACCTAACCTCAGTGGCGTTTGTATATTTCTCTGTCAGAGTGAATATTAAGTCAAGTATTAATATGTATAACCATATGTCTTTTGTATTTTTCAATATTGTGTATTTTTTAGAGTGGGACTTAAGCAGATTGTGGAAACAAATTGCCCTCCTGGGACAGGCGGCTGACTCTCTAAACTATCAAGTCATTCTGAAATGAGGAAACTAACTCATTATTGTGATTCTGCTCAGTGTTAAATGAAACATCAGTCTTCAAATCCACCAGCTTTCCTCTCTTGACAGTTTAGCCTCTGAAGATGACGGTCAGTGTTGTAGTTCGCCTGGTGTATCCATGCTGCGCACAGGTATATGAGCCAAAACTCCATGTTCTGTTCGCTGGTTTACAACCCCTGCAGCAATTTCCCAACAGAAACTAGAGTTAAGAGTCCATATGCAGACCCAGATTGTTTCACAAGTAACCGGTTTACAACCAGACAACGGTTTAAAGCCAATAAAACGACAGATTGCAACAACAAAAACGGCATTTCAGCCAATGTGTTCAGCCTATTTACTCCCCCATTTTAATTGTTTTCCTGCAGAAAAAAAGTTCAGTGGATTTTACTAGAAAAACAGCAAACCCTGAACAGTGTATAAGGGGTAGATGTGGTGAACAAAGTCAAAAGGGCAGTCAATGCAGAACTGGTATCCATATGCAATTTCTCCAGAGGCCATTAGGAGGCGCCCCCACTGGTTTCAGGATGATTTTTTAGATGTTAAATTATTCTTTACTTGAGGTTACTCTTGCTTGCTTTGTTGTATTCACAAAATTTCATGGTGGGCTGCATGTGTGAACCCAAACAGGAAATGTTTATACTTTTATACCAGAAGTCGCTTTGTACTCTTAATCTGTTTGCACACACGCTCTTTTCTACTCTAACATTTATACTCTGAACAAACAGTTACACGCAGACTTGGTATATGTGTAAAACAAGTGGCATCAAACGTACCTGAATCTCCGTCACCTGCCTTATTAGATATGCACAAACGCTACAGAGTGACCTCCACATCCTGCTTTCATGCCCTACCTCCTACAGCATGTAACCCCCATCCTTATGACTCCACGCATGTGTGGATAAGCATCTCAAGAAAATGTCCAAGGTCAGATTTGTAGATGCATGTGTCACAGAGGCTTATGTAAAACAGCTGCTTTATTCTCAGTTTCTAGTCTGTTGTCTCATTGAAATCATGGCAGTAGTGGCTGATCCCTCATTTATTGTTCCTCACAAGAAAAATATGACAAACACGTACCATCAAGTAGTCACCCTGTTCATTCACTGTAACCTCTGGCTCTTAAAATAGAAGAAAACCAACGTAAACTCAGGCTGTTATGATATCAGAATTTCAGTTCACGGTTATCAGGGTCATAAAAAAATTACACATATTATCACAATACTTGTAGAAAACTTGAAAAACAACATTTCTTTATAAACTTTATTAATTTAGTGTTTTTTCTATCTTGGGTTTCTGTTATTTCATTTCTCTGCAGATCATAAGTTACAGCTCTGAATGAAAACAGTGAAAAGAACAGAAAGTATAAATGTGAAGAGGCACAAACTCTATTATTGTTTTCGAATTCACAATAAATCTTTGATACAGTTTTAAAAGTGCTGAGTCATCTATCGAAGGGCTGCTGCAGCTAGCACCCTAGCGGTCTGTTACTTCTTTATATATCCTCTGTTTTCAGACACGCAGCGATTAAAGGTGGGATAGGCAGGATTCCGTTAAAAAAGCATCTTTTTTGTGGTGTATATACAAAAAAACTTTTAATATCAGTCAATAATTATTAGTTATTGATGAGATTTGGTAATGTAACGATATCTCTGTTTCGTTACGTCTGTGTAGTCAATGTTTTAAAATTTTCAACCCGCCCGCTCTTTCTGACTGCCCGCTCGTGACCGTGTCGTTCACGAGCCCAAACAAAGTTAGCATGCTACAGTATTAGAAAGTAGAAACCAACAAACTAAATACCGGAGACTCTGGTGGAATAACGGGCGCTTAAAAAGGAGGTAGACCAGACAAGAGCTAAAAAGCCAGGTCAACATCAGCATAAACGATGGGGGACGCTTCAAGATCTTGGTGACCCTGTAACCTTTCTGCTGGACAGGTAAACCACTTTAACAAAGTAAGACAAGTGTCTGTAACAGAAGTGTTTCTTGTCAAACAGACCTGCTGTAGCGTGTTGTAGCGCCACTAAACTGTTGACCTCGGGTCCTGGACTATGTCATTTTATCCTAGTTTTAGAAGTCCTGTAAACGTTGTGTTTGCTGGTAGTCTGTTGGCATCTATGCTTTTAACTTTCACATTGACTTGCCCCTGGTAGGTTTACCAAAAGTTAGGTACAGTCAGCATTACCAATATGGCGACTGCTGCTGGAAGGCCTCAATACTGATGCTATATCCATAAATTTACAGTCTATGGTGGCAACCGTTGGGAAGAACCACTGTTATAAACTCATGGTGTGACTGTTTGCTTATTTCTAGCACAATATCTATATTCTATGTATTTTTAAGACAGGTTTCATTTATACCGGTATTATGGGACAGGCTTATGGGCAATGACTTCAATGCCATACTTGAGGCTTCAAGACAGGGGTCAACAAACAAATAAGTAAAATACAAGTGGCTAAATCCACATCTCCTGACCCACAGTTCTTGGCACAAACAAATCAGGACTCTAAAAAAAACAAATTCTTGTTCCTTGGCGCCTTCCTGAAAAAAGCGTCATTCGTATGTGTCATGTAAGGAGCTTTAAAAGACAAAAAATGGCTTCATGGTGTGTTATAATTTTAGTATTGAACCTTTAACCTCAATAATAATACAGTATTACTGCAGCTAGTTTTTAACTGACTCAGCACAATAGTCTTTGGTTTTTCCATCATGCTGTGTCTTAAATTCTCGTCCAAATCTCATCATGTTTGTCTGAAGAATTCACGGGTATTGTCTGCTTTAAAAGGCAACACATCACAGTATGACATACAGCTGAAGTGACTGTCAGATGTGATGTTACAGTGAGGCAGGAGAAGGAGGGCTGATGACACAGAGCTGCTGCTGCTGCTGCTGCTCGGTGAGGAAAGCGCACATTGTACTTCAGAGCTGGAGACAGGGAGGCGCGCCGCTCCGTCCTCCACTCTTCACTTTCCAAACACTGAGGGGAACAGAAAGGGAGCAAGGATGTAAAAATCAGTCTGAGGACGTTCACACATCCTGCTGCAGTGCAGACTTATCCTTCTTCTTCTTATCCTGAGTCTGGTTCTCCCTCAGACTCCCGCGTTTTGGCGCTCTGCTCGGCGGAGGAAGACCCGAGTACCGGAGGAGAGGAGCCGCTTCATCCCGCTGAACTGACCCGATCCCCGGTTCTCCCACTTTTGCATGAGGACTCCGGCTTAAGAGGAAACTCTGGTCCTTTTGGGAAGAGTTGGGATCTCGTTCCCTCTCCATACTTACAGGTGAGTGGATTTTCCCCTTTTACTTTTCAATGAACTGTGCATTGATTTGACATTGATACACATCTGTTCAGACAATATGTGCGTAATTGTGAGGGAGCTTGGAGGTGCATGGGAAACATGTCAGTAAAACACGGTTCATCCAGTTTTATTCCCTCATTTTCCTAATTTTTGTTAAAAAAATCAACAGATAAACACGAGAAAACAATGAACTTTTAATATCAACTAAGTGGACAGACATTACAAGCTGTTCCTCTGACAGCTGATAGTCATAATATTTAATATTATGTCAAACCAACGAAGAAGAAGCCTCTGTCATATCCATAATGATGTATATGCAGCTGCAGTCTCCTTATCCCGATTCAACAGGTTAGTTTCAGTCAGTCTGCTCATGTTGTTGCTTCATCCTTTCTGCTCATGCTAGTTTGACAAAATAACCTCATTTCAGTCTCCATACATCGAGATTTATTTATTCATATCTTTGGCAAATGTGGGCTTCGGTCCAAAACACAGAGGGCATTTGGTTTGCAAATGCAACTCCAACAAACTAAGTCACATTGTTTTTTGTTTTTTGAAGGACTGGTAGACATCATGAAAATTTAATATTTTAAGGATTGATTTTTTTGTGGAAGTTGATGCAGTTTATGTTTAAATCTGAGCAGAGGACACAAGAGTTCATTTCTTATGCGTGCTTTGCTCATGTGGTTGCCTCCTGCTCTTGTTCAGCTGCCCTTTCTTTACAGCTGGTATACATCTTTGGTAGATTTGAGTAAAAGCATTAAAAAAATTTGATTCAGACTGTCATGAGCTTTTTGCTGCATCCTTAGTGGACAACATTTAGTTCCCATTTAGTGCGCAGCTGCTCCAAATCTCTTAATTTGCTCTTGCGTTGTTGCGATTAAACCCACAGATGTCTGTTGATTTTGAGGACACTCGACCCTGAAGGTGAGGAGGACCAATCTAAAGACTAGACTCCAAAATGGCGACTGGTGTAGCAGCATGGCTCCCTTTTGCCAGGGCAGCAGCCATCGGCTGGATGCCCGTCGCCAACTGCCCGATGCCTGTTGCACCGAGAGACAACAGCAAGAGGCAGGATGAGCTGATCATCCTCAACGTCAGCGGCCGCCGTTTTCAGACCTGGAGAACCACTCTGGATCGCTACCCCGACACACTGCTGGGCAGCTCTGAGAAAGACTTCTTTTACAACGAGGAGAGCAAGGAGTATTTCTTTGACCGTGACCCTGACGCCTTCAGGAGCATCCTCAACTTCTACAGGACGGGGAAGCTGCACTACCCACGCCACGAGTGCATCTCCGCCTATGACGAAGAGCTGATTTTCTTCGGCATCATCCCTGAGATCATCGGTGACTGCTGCTACGAAGAATACAAAGACAGGAAGAGAGAGAATCTGGAGAGACTTCAGGATGATCAGGAGGAGAACAAGGACATGAAACTACCCAACATGAACTTCAGGGAGACCATGTGGCGGGCCTTTGAGAACCCCCACACCTCCACCATGGCACTGGTCTTCTACTACGTCACTGGTTTCTTCATCGCCATCTCTGTCATCACAAATGTGGTTGAAACGGTGCCCTGTGGATCCACCGCTAACCAGAAGGACATGCCATGCGGCGAGCGCTACACAGTGGCGTTCTTCTGTATGGACACGGCCTGCGTCATGATCTTCACGGTGGAATATCTATTGCGTCTGTTCGCCGCGCCGAGCCGCTACCGCTTCATGCGCTCGGTGATGAGCATCATCGACGTGGTGGCCATCTTGCCGTACTACATCGGCCTGGTGATGACCAATAACGAGGATGTGAGCGGCGCCTTTGTGACGCTGCGTGTGTTCAGGGTGTTTCGCATCTTCAAGTTCTCGCGCCACTCGCAGGGCCTGAGGATCCTGGGTTATACCCTGAAGAGCTGCGCCTCAGAGCTCGGTTTCCTCCTCTTCTCGCTCACCATGGCCATCATCATCTTCGCCACTGTGATGTTCTACGCAGAGAAGGGCTCCAGCTCCAGCAAGTTCACCAGCATCCCGGCTTCCTTCTGGTACACGATCGTCACCATGACCACGCTTGGGTGAGTAACAGACAATCCAGCACAGGGTCGTTTTGTGGACACTAGGGCTGTAAATCAACCAAAGAAATTCTTGATTTGACTAAAACCCTGAAACTTTCAACCAAAATCGACTAATCAGGGGGTTGGGGTGGGGGATATACCGGTATAAGCTATATCAGCAACCACCAGACGTTGATTAACGTCAACGCTCTTCAGTCTTCCTGTCTCCAGCCGGTCTCCAGTGGGTTGGGCGAATCCAAAATGATGAAAACAAGGGGGGTGTTCTGAGACAGACTGTTACCTGTGAAACAGAGGTGCTCTGAAAACACCCCATTAGCACTTGGTACGTTCCTCCTCATGAAATTAACTATAGACTATAAATTCTTGGGAAAAAAATAGTCGAGCCATCAGAACTTTGGTCGATTCAGCACGTATCAACCAATAAGTACAAGGACTTTACAGCCCAAGTGGACCCACTGATCTAAAGCACTGTTAATGCATTTTTCGGTGAAGAACTGGAGAATCTCAAGAGGATTTTTAGGAAGTTTTCTCCTTGCTTCTGCTACAAAGTGCTGGCTCATGGTGTATGTTTGGTCTAGACCTGCTCCGTTTAAAGTGTCACAAGATTTTTGCAGCGATTCTGTGCTTCATGACAGAAACTGATTGATCCGTTGATGAGGCGTTTATGGAAACCACTTCGGTTTTCAGATATGCATCATGGCTTCCGCCTCTGTACTTCAGTATGCAACAGCTTATTCTAGGCTGACATTGAGAGTTAGGACTGGCTGCATCGTTTATCTTTCCGCACACACACTTCTGACATTTTTGTTTGCCTCACTTGAAACTTGGAAAAAGGACACAGTTTTTCAATATGTTGAATATACGACTATGCAAAGATGAACAGATGGCGTAGAGGTTTGTGAAGATATGGTTAAACAATGCTGTTCCTGTTGCTGTTGTACAGAATTGCTATGAAAATCTTGAGGTATCTCATTAAGTAACAAACGTGTTTCCGCCTCTATATGTTTGTGACTTCTAGATAACCCTGCACACCCCATTATTTTTGGATGAGATGGTTCAGTTAGATTGTGTTGCCCAGAAAAATAGATTTTTTTTTGTGCTGTATTTCTGTGTTTTTCGTTTATTTGGGCCACACAACAAGCCCCACTTTCACAGCCTGGGCATTCAGTCATAAAAAATGCCTTGTGAGAAATCAATTTACCTGCATTATAAAGTCAGATCTCTGCTGAGTGCCTGTGGGCGGAGTGTCCCAGGAGAGACTCTCTGTCACCTTTATTATGATTCCTCTCTTCTCTTAATCCTTCACACAGGCGTGCTGAGATTCAGAGCCATGAATAGCAGGGTGAACTTGAAAGTGTTCTCAAAGTTTGGCTCGGTGAAGTACTCCATTATGAACCCACAGTGGAAGAATAGTTATGAGCTCCCCCCAAAAAAAACACTTATTCTCTCTGGATCTCTTTGTGGAAAATGCTCCATCTGTTAATGCAAAATGGCCTTTTTGAAATGAAGTGGCATGATGATTCTAATGAGAAATAGATGAGCATTAATATTTCTGAGGAGGAATGAGAATGATAGTATGTTCGTGTAAGAAAAGCCGTGAGAGAATAGGTTTGAATCAGTCCTTTATCGGAGAACATGCTGAGTTTTAAAGGGTATTTCTCAGTGTTTGAATGCAGTGTTTTCCCTATCATGGGCGCCCTGTTAATGGATACCCCTGCCCTGCCAACGAGATCCCAACCCAGAAATTGAAGTCATAGATAAATATATACATTTAATTTTTATTTTTACCAAAACAGCCTATAAAATGTAATTTGCGCAATTTCTGACTCTAAATCTTGCAATCGTTTCATTACTTTCAAGAGAAATGTATTTCTCCGCTCCTCTGTGACAAGCTGAACTCTTCGCTCGCTTCTCTCTCTATCTCACAACATACACACGTGCTGACATGTCGCACGGCGTGGTCCAGAGGCGCGGCATGTCAGCACCACTGATTCTGGTACTCTGGTCGCGAGCGCTTGCCGCTCATACCCTGCCAGTTTTGCGCAGGATGAGATTGAAAGTGGTATTTCTCAGTGTTAGTGTGCATTATGGCTTTTTAGGGATATACCCTCATATAGTGCTGGACGATAATTCGATAACAATATATATCGATCGATAGACGTGTGATGCGATAGAAAAAAAACGGGTCGATAAAATGTTCGATAGAAAAACACAGTTTCCCTTTCTTTTTCATCATAGCCTATCATGTAGCTTTTACTACAGTCATTACTTCCTCCCAACCAATCACAAACGCAGACCCAGGTACGCTACGGCACCAAGCCCAGCCCCTATCAAACCACAACAGACAGCACGTGTATTAGAAAAAATGATACAGCAAGGAGAAGCGGAGGACATTGTCCCGAAAAAAGGTTTCAGTAGTTCACCAGCATGGCAATGTTTTGGTTTTTAGAAGTCTGACAAAAAGCGAACAGCGGTCGTTTGCAAAATTTGCAGAGAATTAGTAAAAACCAAGTCTGGTAACACAACCAACTTGTTTTACCATCTAAACCGATCGCACCCGCAGGAGTACGAGCTGTGTCGGCCGCGCCGCGGCTCCACGTCATCGTCGGAGGAATCCTCTGGAACCGCTGCCAGCACCAGCACAAAGCATGTGAAGCAGACCAAACTGGACTTCGTTTCTTGCCAAAATACGACAAAGCGTCCGAGCGGCATAAGGACATCACCCATGCAGTAACATGCTCCATAGCGAGGGACATACTGCCAATAACTACCACTGAAAAGCCTGGCTTCGACCAGCTTCTAGCCACTCTCGACCCGCGATATGAAGTGCCCGGCCGCAAGTATTTCTCAAACACAGCGCTTCAGGCATGAAAATGGGTCAGGGGTTGAAAAGGTGAGAAGGGTGCGGAGGAA